CCTTAAATGAAATATCTATTTTGCAAGTATTGCAAGTTGCCCTGTTGTCATCCGTTCTCGTAAAGTATAATCAAACTTTTGAGCGTTTGAGCCGCCGTGTTTCCTGCCAGGTAAATCACGCTCCGCAACGTGGTGACGTCATTCTCAACAAGAACCGGTTTTCGATACCCATCCCTACCTCTGCATCAACCACAATTTATGCAATGTACCTGAGTCATACTGTAGTGTCAAGAGGACATACTGGGATTTCTATTGATGGCACATATGTCGGGGTTGGGTTAACAGAGCGCATGGACTTTCTTTTCAAAATGATGGGCATTGCAGCTCCAGATTTATTGAAGGGAGATTAAATGATATGATATATACACACATATAATTCTTTGATTTAGTTGGATTTCATAATTTTAACACTTTCAAAACAGAACTTTCATTCCCAGTCCTTTGTAGTGGACAGCAGGACTTACCAACTTCCATTTGTAAGTGAGACGAGGAGAATTTTACCCAGAATTGTAGACAGGTTCTCAGACGCATAGCTGTCTGGGGATGAAGTGTAGGAGGGCCAGGTATTAAAGCAGAAAGGTGAAAGTTCAAAGGACCTACCAGCATTCGAGAAGCGTCACTGTCCAGTTTTACATCGCCACAGACTGAGGTTGCCGACCAAGGAAGAATCAACAGAAATATTTCAAGACAAAGATTAAACTATTTGGCCACAAAAGCAAGAGGTATTTTTGGAAGCATCAAGGTGAGGCTTTTCAAACCTAACAACACTGCATCAACTGTCAAGCATGGTGGTGGTAGTATCATGCTCTGTAGCTGTTTTATTGCCAGTGGTACTGGTGTGTTGCACAAAACAGATAGCCTAATGAAGGGGGACTACCTCAAAATTCATTAATCCGCTAGACGGTTAAACTTGGACACAGTTGAGTGTTTCAGCAAGACAATGGTTGTGGAATAGGTAATGCAGGCTAACACTGAGCTTCTGGAATAGCTTTCCCAAAGCCCCAACCTCATCAACTGAAAATTATGCTTAGAAGCCACGTCTATGCAAGGAAACCAACCAATTCAAATGGCTTCTGTCGGTTCTGCAAAGAAGAGTGTCCAAGTATTCAGTCACAATTACGCCAGAAACTTGTTGATGGCTATCAAAAGTGTCTGTTTGAGGTGCAACTCTCTAAGGGACATTTCACCAATTATTAGTGGAAGTGCATATATATTTAAACCTGTATGTATATTTTTGACTGTGGATTAGAGAAAACATGAAATAAATTCAAAGATCTGCACCCAATTCTTGTTTTTTAAAGTCATGAAAGATGTATGCTGTATAACCCCCCACCCATCCCGGAAGAAGAACAATTAAAAAAAAAAAATCATTAGAAGCCAGCATTACCTTGAAATTCATGCCCATGATGACTGTATGTAAACTTCTAAATACCACTGTATAATTATCTACATAATGAGGTCATCTTAAAGCACAAGGAGATAGGAACATTTACATATATTTCAAGTCTTTACTAATGATCATTAAGTGTAGTTTCAGAGTCAGTTCTTCAATAAAAGAATACAAAAAAATACTGTATAAGAATTTTTTTTCAAAGGTCAGTAAACAGTGTGCAGACAAATTTTCAAATTTGTTTCATGGGTTTTTATTGTATAGTATGCTCAATCAAAAATACTACAATTGTTGCAGCATCGCCAAAAGGAAAAAACCTGTGCTGATGCATTTTTTGTCTAAACCAAATCACCCCAACGTGTATCCAACATAGTCTATAATAATGAGTGTTCATCCCACCATACACAAAGAGAACAGTGTCTGATAATCTGATAATTAATCTGATAAAAAGCAACCCGGATGGCATTGTTTACATATTTAATTCTCCCTATTTTTTAAACGTTCACTGGTTTACCAGTATCATGGCACCTTGAACGGATTGTGATAAATTTACATGCATTTGATGGCTCCAGTGGATGATAATAAATCTTGCAACGCAGACTAAGCGCTTCATTTTTCAGTTCATGACTGGAAACCTTTAAAAGTAGCAAACGAATTCAAAACTTCATGAAGCAGTTTTGAGCATCACCACTGACCAATGGTGGCAAATTAAATGGAAAATGATTATATTTAGTCATTTGTCCAAGATCCCCTTCGGAGCAGCCAGTCCAGTTACCCCTGCTAAAATCAGACTAGAGATGCACTGAGGAGTATATCACATTTGAATGCCCATTTCTTGAAGGATTATTCACCACCAACCAGAATATGTGGTGAAAGAAAACTTTGCTTAGAATCAAAGAGAAAAGATTCATGACAAATATTGTTAAAATACAACTCAAATGTAGAATAGGCTCTGGTTCTTAGTTTACAGGTGACAGCCTTCAGTGGCGTTAAGGTCAGGAAGGTGAATTTGTACATGTGGTTTAGCAGTCCACACTCTTGGATTGCTAATGTTTGCTGATGCATTTTCTGGACATATCAATGGTCAGACAAAAAGACAGACAGATAACCATGAAGCAAAGAGCATGACAATAAGACGAATTTAAAACAAGCTTGTTTTCTTAATGTTTTAATCTCCATCCTTGAGCCTTTTACAACAAGCTAACATTGGGATGATAAACTGAGTTTGATTCAGAGTTTGACTTCTGCTAAGACAGTAAGATGACAAACAGCTTTCACTGATCCCCCTGCTATCAGTGAATGCAAAGTTGTTGAGTTTTAAGCTGCAATCCCTTAAACTATAGGAAAGAAAAATGTGATCACTGTGACACCCTGCTAACACAGCCGTTTGGCACTACATATTTAACTAGCATGTTATGCTTACATGCTAAAAAGTGATTAACATTTGCACATTAAAATACCAACATTAGCACAGTTTTCAACAGCCATGTTAACTTTAGTGAATGTTAACATGCAAATGTTTGCATTCAGGTCAAAAACAACCTGAGAAATGTTACAGATGATGCTGAAGGAGTAAACCTGAGGCTGACAAAGTGCATCTGAGATGAAACTTGAGCCAAGACTATAGCTAACAGTAAGTTACTGAGTCTGATCTTCCCTTAAAAATGTAGATTGTAGTTGATTTTTACCCAACTGGGAATAAGAATCTGAAAATAGCAGAGTTGTCTCCACTATTCATAAGTTATATTTGGTGACGTGTAAAGAGCACAACGGCCTTTTGAGGACACCTGGGTTGCGCCAAGTTACACAAAGTTGAGTCAGATTACCCGACTTGAAGAAGAGTTCAGCTACACTTTAAAGTATCTTTCAAGAGGAGGTGACTGTGAATTCAACCCTTTCCCAGAAGCCTTAAATCATGCCAGCTAGCCACGGTGGCAAGAACAGACCAATTGTCCCAAGCAGGCAGACAATAATGAACATCCACAGGAAGATACGGTCAATCACCATGGCAACATACTTCCAGTCCTCTTTCACCTGTGCAGAAAGAAGTAACAGAGAAGGGGGAGAGAACAAGAACAGAAAAAATATCATGAATTTAAATAATAATTGTATTGTTTGCTATGAAAAATATGGTTCATAAGAAAAACTACTCATCACACAAGCTATGTCATATATTCATGCACATTTCTGCACACTTTTGCTGACCCGTTCCTTCTATTTTCTTCAGTCAATGCGATTTGCTACAACCTGTCTGTAACCAATCAAACTTTTAAACAGTTCTTTCTTAGCTGCTCCCAACAGTAATTTCAGTGTGATGTTAGGCATATAATGGGATTTAGCTCCATGCATTACTGCTCCATGGATCTGCCCTTGAAGTTTAATATCTGTCTCCAGAAAAGCTCTCTTCAGTCACTCAGCTGCCAAAGCCAGTTTTTATACCTCTTCAGTAACTTCCTATATATGACAAAAAAAAGTTTTTTTTTATGTAAAAGTTACTTTTCTAGGGCAGAATGGTGCCTCACAGCAAGAAGATCCTGAGTTTGAAATAATAATTTCCCCTAGGCATCAATAAAGTATTCTGATTCTGATTCTGATTGAGGCTGAGGGCCTTCTGTGTGGAGTTTGCATGCTCTGCTGTGTTTGTGTGGGTTCTCTCCGGGTACTCCAGTTGCCCCCCACAGTCCAAAGATATGCAGTAAGTGGGATTATGTTCAGTCTGTTATTCAAATTTGCCCAGAAGTGCGATCTTATCCCTGTGTCAGATGGTGACATATCCAAGGTGTGCCCCGCCTCTTGCACTATACTAGCTGGGATAGGTTTTAAGGATAAGAAAGAGTATGCTAAATTTCTTATGCTTACTATTTTGTCCATGAATACTCTGCAGGCTTTCTGCCTTCCTGTCTGGTTTTTCAAATGCAGTAAGAGGCGCAATATTGATAAAAATCTGAATAATATTTTTAACAACCAAAGGGAAGATGTTCAAGTTGTTTTGGCAGGACAAAGTCTTACTGAGAGACTACGGACTGAGACACTAAAAGACTGAGTTATCAAACTTCAGTATATACTGCTTATTTTGGTTCTTATTGTCAGGTGTCATGGTAAACTGAGAGCTTAAGATTTTTTTTTTTTTTTACATGTTCTGGGTATCAGTATACAGTTAGGTCGGACGACACAAATGCAGCTTTGCTTTTGCAAACCATCTCAGTGGATTTTAAATCAAAGAATCAACATGAGATTAAGGTGCACACTTTAACTCATGGGGTTTTACAAAAGTATTGCCCTAACTTTTTAGGAATTATCTACATTTTTATTCACAGTACCCCATTTGCTCTCATAATTAAAAATATAAAGATTATTTTAATTCTTGGATGATTCTCATCTGGAGACTCTCTGTTAGGCCTCTACTGCAGCCACCTTCAGTAGCTGCTTGTTTGTGAGTCATTCAGCTTTATCTTCAGCTACGGGCTCTACTGCAGTGACTCCAAAAGTGTAGGATGAGTCCCCCTGTGGGCTGTGAAGGTATTGCAGGCCTTAGTATTAAAAGAAATTACGTTTGAAATAGAACTATGTACAGTTACGTATTTATATAAATGCATTTATTTATGTAAAAAGTGAACTTCTGTACAGAGCAAATGGAAACATCTGTATCAAACCAATTTAACAAACATGCAAAGGACTATCACTGATATTAAGAGCTGGATCTCCAGTTATGGCCCGGAAACTAAGCAGCATTGTTCAGTGAAAGAATCCTGAAGGATGGCCATAAAGTCCATAAGGTCACGGGTGCACTCTAAATCCTGGTTTGCCATTTTTCAACATTCACAGGATTGTGAATTGTTGCATGTACCATCGACAGGCCATGCCCAAACACTGCTCACTAACCACCCTGCTTACTAAACTCAGTTCCATGCAACTTCTTTCTCTTTCCTAAAATGAAATTCAAGATGGGGCCTATTTTTACACACAAACAATATTCAGCACTCACTGAACAGCAGGCGGTCAGGACAAAATTTCCAGGGTGCATTTCAAACATAGGAGGAACACTGAGAGTCGTCTGTGGCTTGAAGACAATCTTGAAGTGTATGGCAGCCAAATTTAACTCACGTATGATTTTTAATTTATATAGAGTAGTAGGAATTTTGATTGCGCCTTGCACAGGTATTATCTAATCAACATGCCCAGAGTATGATTTTGTATCAAAACTGAGATAAATGTAAATTGGAATACCATCAGTAATACAAATGAACAAAATGCCATTCTGCTTTTATATAAGATGCATTATTTCCTTGATACTCACACTGAAGTCAGCATCCTCAGCCCTCAGGTGGTCTGCAATGTAGTGCACCCCTTCTAATGCACGCATGACACTTGGTGAAAGCAGGAAAGCTGACTGTGACACTTTATTGTCAACTTTAGCCGGCCGAGGAGTGGAATTACCTCTGGTTCCAGTTAAGTGCCTGTTCCCCCCCGCCACCACCTCTTGTCGGCTCTGGCTGTTCTGTGGGGTTTTTTGTTGTGGCGGAGGAGTTGACCCTGGAGGTCTGGGAGAAGGAGGACGGAAGGAGAAATAGGATGTCAGTGTTCCCAGCTCCAAGTCCTCATAACAGCTTCTCTCTGGGTCTTCCAATGTGGTCCCATCTCTTAGCCAGTTAGCTGAGGTGCTAATACAGTTACCCGATTTATACCCGGCTATTCGGAGCTGGCGCCGCTCTGCCACCGCTTCCTGTTGAAGGAGCAGCAACCTGCGACGGCGGCCATCCGGTGCGGGCCGTCTCATGAACAACCAACGTGGAATCAAGTCCAGGAACACAGAGTGGACCCAGTGGGGCATCTTGTGAGTGCTGGGAGAGCGGTGGTGGACGTTGAGGACAAAGACGGTGATAACGATGGACAGGGTGACAAAAATCATGGTGAAGAGGAGATACTCGCCGATGAGAGGGATAACGAGGGACGTGGACGGTATGATCTCCGTGATGAGCAGCAGGAAGACAGTGAGGGATAACAACACGGAGATACACAGGGTGATCTTCTCACCGCAGTCTGACGGTAGATAGAAAACCAAAACCGTGAGGCATGAGATCAGCAGACAGGGGATGATGAGGTTGATTGTGTAAAATAAGGGAAGACGTCGGATGATGAAGAAGTAGGTGATGTCTGGGTAAATCTCATGGCAGCAGTCATATTTCTTTGTATTATACGTTCCCACGGCATTGATGATGGCCCATTCGCCGCTCTCCCAGTAGTTGCTGAGATCCACAGTATTTTCAATCTGCTCCAAGTCAATTTTGGCTTTGTCGTAAGTCCAGGAGCCAAATTTCATTTTACAGTTCTGTTGATCGAAGGGGAAGAAGGTGACATCAATGCTGCAAGAGCTCTTGTAAATAGCAGGAGGCACCCAGCGAATTTTGCCCGTGTAGAATAGGTGAGCTTTTGTCATGTGGGTCACAGCAAATTCGCCATCAGCACTGCAGAAGGAGAAGTTTGTCATATAAGTCATGGAAACACACAATAGACCTCATCTTAGAGCGAAGGCTACATCAGATAAGAAATCACAACCTTCACTGTGATCAGTTCTATTCCCATTCTTCTTTCCTGAGATTTTATTTCCTTTTCCTTTTTTTTTTTCATTTTGGAAACTATGTAGTGAAAAACTGTCTGTAATCTCCCCTCCATTCACCACTTTAATGGCAACACTAGCTTCAGCAGAAGACGTAATCATACGTCCTTATCATTTAATCAGTCTCACCTCTTTTAATTTCACATACAGACTGTGATTACACGAGCGCGCCGGAGCAGAAACCTATCATCAGCGTGCTCGGTTTAATCTCCAGGAGGTGAATTTAGGTGACGGGAGAGGTTTCTCAAAAGTGGTTTTTGCAATCAGTTTCCCACTGGAGCGATAGACATGTAAAGGCTGCCTTCAGTTCGACGAAATGAAATGCACTCCGCCAATTTTTACTAACAGACGTGCAAAATTTAAAATGGGGTATCTTTTTTCATTTTGCTCGATGAAACAGATAATAAAGAGCTGTGTTTACATCAGCGTGTAAACTATACCGCACATATCTCAGAAGGTACAAATAAAACCAGCCACCCAATCAGGAATGGAAGAAACATGAGAAAGAGGAGCAAACCATTGTTTTCACAGACCACTAGATGGTGCCATCTTCTTACACATACCATTAAGGCAACGGGCGTGAGTTTGGACTCCTTTGTCATGCTACAATAAGAGCATAGTTGTTAGACAGCCCTAAATCTGCCATTACAATCCTCTGAAGCATTTTGGCAAACTTTAAAGTGTTCAGCAGCGTCTCAGTACGGTAGAGAGAAATAACTGTGATTGGTTATGTAGTTCAGAACTGAATAGACTCAGAATCAATTGTTTGACAGTATATTAATCAGAATTAAAGATGAATGAGTTTAGTGAGTTTGCTAAAAAAAAATGCAACAAATATCAGAGTAAAGCTGTTTAACTGAATATCAGATATTCGTTTCTTGAACAATTATAGTTATTTTACTCTCATGTGCTCATTTGCACAACAGAGCTTTACTGTAGGCCTGAGTGTTTAATAAAGAGTTAATTAGATAATCAAGAAAAGAAATGCAGTAACCATTACATTTTATCTCAGACTCACTTGTTATAGAGGACGATATCTGGTACCCATATGAGCTCTGACGGCACTCTTATGGATGTCACGTTGTCGTAGTCAGACGGTCTCCAGCGAAGCTTGTAGTCATTCCACTCCTGCGAGACACAAACAACACGAATCAGTCTGGAGGGCCGTGGCCCCATTTGTATTCATCATATGAGTCATTCACTTCAACAATGCAAATGCTTTTTTGCATTCCTAACATTTCATGTCAGCATATCCCCTCCTGAATATATATATATAAAAAAATAAAGTCTTAATAATAAATCAACACTGACACTAGATTTCCTAACCTGTTTAAGCCACACGTTGGTTGTCATCATTTGGTTCTTTTCATCCTGAAAGACAGACAGATAGAGAGCGAGAATGATGGAAATATTGTTAAAGTTGTCAACCGGGGGTTCAGACCAGAGAAATATGTCTGTGTTTCTTGGTGTTTTGTCAAAGGAAAACTCAAATATAACTTTCTGCTACTTTAATGACTTTATGGAAATCATATACACAGCTTCCTACATAGCTGTGGGATGTAGTGTACCCATGAACAGGCCTATACTGAAACCAAACCAAAGTTTGAGTATATACTGTACTGGCATCACTGTATTTAGTCAATGCACAGAAATATCATAACCTTATCATCACCGATCATGAGGGTTTTGGTGATGAAGACATCTGAACATTGTTGTTGTTGTTCCTAGAGTATTTAAAAGTAGGATGGGAGGCAGAGCCTTCAGCTTCCAGTTTGGATTCGAGAGACAGACACCATCTCTACTTTTAAGATAAGGCTTCAAACGTTCATTTTTGCTAAAGCATATAGTTGGGGCTGAATCAGTTGAACCTGAATCCTCCCTAGGCGTAGGCTGCTGGGGGATTCCCATGATGCACTGAGTGTTACTTCTTCAGTCACCTTTCTCAATCACTGTGTTAATAGACCTCTCTGCACTGAATCATACGTGTTATTAATCTCTAACTCTCTCTTCCACAGCATGTCTTTGGCCGCCCCTCCCTGAGCCTGGTTCTGCCGGAGGTTTCTTCCTGTTAAAAGGGAGTTTTTCCTTCCCACTGTCGCCAAATTTGTTGCTCATAGGGGGTCATATGACTGTTGGGTTACAATATACAATATAAAGCGCCTTGAGGCAACTGTTGTTGTGATTTGGCGCTGTATAAATATAATTGAATTGAATCGAATTGAACATTCATTTATTTTTTCTGAATGACACTAGAGCAGGGGTAGGCAACTCCAGGCCTCGAGTGCCGGTGTCCTGCAGGTTTTAGATGTGTCCTTGATCCAACGCAGCTGATTTAAATGGCTAACTCCTCAACATGTCTTGAAGTTCTCCAGAGGCCTGGTAATGAACTAATCATTTGATTCAGATGTGTTTAATCAGGGTGAGATCCAAAACCTACAGGACACTGGCACTTGAGCCCTGGAGTTGCCTACCCCTGCACTAGAGGCATCATATGTCACATCACCAGCTGTCTGTGGCAATCCCTAGGCAAACACTCACCACATCAATAAGCTGGGCTATGGAGAGTCCAAACTTGACAATGACGACGTCGGAGATATTTGGCACAGGTCTCGACCACTTGTTGTATCCAGCGAACAGGGTCTTGAAAAGGTCATCTTCAGCATGTGAGTGGGTCTTCTCGTCACAGAGGGCTGTGGATACATTACTGGTGTAGTTAGCCATTTATAGAAGACAAATGCAATAAGTGAAGTGGGTAGTTTAGGAATTTGTAATATTTCTATTCTCTTGTCGGTTCATATATTTATTCATCTCTCTTGAATCTGCATCATAGAGTTTGTTAACATTTAAATAAGCTAACATGGGGCTGTTAAAACTACAGGTGTATGTGATAAAAAACCTCACCTGTATCTTGACACTAAATGTATTTTCACTTTTTTAATGCATTAATATTATTGGTTAATATTTAATGGTATGGCATTCTAAGACTGAAACGGGATGAAAGAAGCAGAAGCTGAATGGCATATGTTGAGATCACATCCATGTTCTGTCATCTGTGTCTCTCCTAATCTTCACTTAACAAATACTAGTAAATCTGGCTGGCATCTGGGTTGCTTTTGGGAGCAAGAAAGAACTGCGAACATGTCGTGCTTCATCACAGAAGCCTACTCTAAACATCTAAGACTTTTCTTTGTAAAGTCTTATCGACTTTTCACATCTTAGCAAATCTTTTGATCTCTTGATCTCGGCTCCCCTTGAGGGCTGCCTGCTAGAATCTCTCAAGCTGAGAAGGTGGAGACAAAGGAAGCGTCTCTCCTCCCCTCGACAGTAATACCATTTCAGCTATACAATCTCTAAAGTCTTATTATAATGTATGTAAGGCCTCGCAGTGAGAGGCGGCTTGATTAAATTGATTCTGAATATGCACTCTAGACAGATTTGTGTACAAGCTGGGACTGAGTCACCGTATTGTGTTTCTGCAGAATGCAGAAAAGCATGGAAATAGACAGGAATCCCGTCCCTTGGGGATTACTGCTTCCACCTTCATCAGTGTAGTCAGAGTCAATTACACACATCATTACTCGCTACTGTTAAGTGGAGGTGAGCTAATTTCTCACCAGTGAAGGGTGTTTATTGTTGAGCTGTCTGTCACTCTGTGTTATGTCTGATGCATGAAACAATTAACTGATGCTTCTGATTTGGAGTGGAGGCTAA